TGAAGAGTAGTGTAAATCTGAACTGCTCGAGCTTTTGTTATTTTTTTTTTTACGCAATTTGTCATTTATTATATGACTGAGAAAATTGCGAACGCGGTGCAAAAAAGGAATAAACGATAAATTGGTCTGCGCTCAGCCAATCAGAATGAAGTAATTTTCTCCGAAAACCAAAAAGCAGAAGCTGTGAAGTAACAAAAGGTCCATTTGAAGCTGGCTGCGAGAGAGAGCGAGGCTTTTGCAAAAGCTGCTGTAAAACAACGAAGAATGGCTTCGTCCAACTCTTAAAAAATGCCTGTTGAATTGCTGAGAAACACACACCGCACAGTGAAAAAGGAGCCTTTCATTATTCTTATGATTACTTATCAGCCTGTGTCGCTTCATTTTAAGAACCCTCGTAAGTGTGGTCTTTTTTTAGCGTTCGTTGCGAGGCCATACCGAGGCAAGCGAACTTGTTAATCGACGAGATCGTTCTGACTGGCAAGGTGCAAAAAGCCCGATATCGAACGTCAACAAAGTTTTGAGCGCCACGGATTGGGTGTGATATTTGCTCAAATACAGGTAGATAAGTGCGGAGCGTAGAATAAGAACAACGCTATCATTTGGTATATCGAGGGTCAAGACCGGGCCACACCACAACAATGAGTACAACTTGTCTCTTCAACACACGAAATTTTGGTGTTTAGGGTTTGTGAAACAAAGAACTAGGAGAACTCTTTTTAATCGCTTTTTGATATCGCACGCGGAGGTCGAGGATTCGGCGTCAGAATTTGTTGGCCTTCACAATGAAACAGTTCCGTGATACAGCGTAACTTATAATACGGTGTTGGCCCGAAGAGTGAAAAAAATCGAGGTTTACAGATATTATCTTTTTGGTGCGTGTCGAAGGTGTGTTCTTAGCTAGAATGTTTAAATCAAGTTAGAATTCCATTCAACATAGTCATTTAATGCTTAAAAACTAGCAGCAAATTAACGGTGAAATTTTCGCCTCGTGCATGTCTATGCTAACCCACGCGAGCGGCGCGAGAGCATCGGTTGATGAGCAGTGTTTAGGTTTAGTCATTCCTAGAAGTCTTAGAAAGCAAAAGAAAAAAAAAAAAACAACAGTTGACTCTTTGCCCTTGGGCACTGAATCATGCCTACAACAAGCAAGAAAATATATCAACAGACTTGAAAATTCGATGTTCGATTTCAAAAAAAAAAAAAAAGAACAGTATCCGCAAAAATTATTTGATGATGCACGACAGAAAGAATTGACTGAAACCTTTTAACGGTATATTGGGCTAATACCACTGCACACTCATGCCATGTTTTTTTTTTCAGACCTCATCATTACTGTTTTCACCAGATCCAGATTTTAGAACAATTAAGGTTGACATGGTCCAGGTAAATGACTTCGTGTTTCATAACATTCGTTATAAAACACAGAATCGAGGAGCGGACCATTAACAAAGTTGTCACAGATAGAAAACAGCAACAAGAAGAACAACAATAACGATAACAGCAAAAATATAATCTTACTTTCCTGTTTATGCATGATTTAGGCCCCGTCCACACTCTGCTAGAGCAATTTGAGAACGGGGGTTCCATCACGGTGAAAACGCATCAAATGTTCTAGTCCACACCACACCGGATAAATTTGGAAACGCAACAATCACCGGTCATTTTCCTTTTTTTTTTTTAGTAAAACTGCGGCAGGGAAGTATCATGATCATCGTAACGTCATCTTTTATGAAAAGCATCGTTTTCAAAATTTTTTCCGTCCACACAAAAACGCAAAGTTGACGTTTTAAAATTCCTCTGGTTTGATGAACGCTTTCTACATGCTCCGTTTTCGTGACGGATTAGTGTGGACAGTAGGCCTAACCGGAGAAATAAAGCCCCGTTTTCAAACTCCTCTGGTGTAGTGTGGAAGGGGCGTTAATCTTTACATAGTTAAGGATCCGTCTAATTCCTAGAAGTACGTCACGGAAGCAAATTGTTTTTTTCACTAAAGAACATTATTAACATTCAATTTTAGCCCATAGAGTATCAATAACTGGAGTACAACAATTCCATACTACTATCGCCCCATAACAATCTTGAGTTAATAAACTAATTGTTAAGTGGCAAAACTCTTTGGCTAACTAGCAAACTCTCAAGCTGATTGGCTACTCAGGAAGCGACTATCAGTCGATAGGTCCTAGGAAAACGAACCTACTTTTTCATGCATTGTTGCTAAAAATTTAGAGTTGACTAGTCTTAACTCTCACCTATAAAGAAACCTTACTTATTTTATCAACTTTCTTAGCAGTCAATTCATTGTATAGAATGAGTCTTTAGGTAGATGGGATTGCTTGGCTGAGAAAGCAATCTCAAGGATCTAAAATGCCGGCAACTAGTTTTCTAGGCTCAGTCTACAGCCGTGGGTATTTCGGTACGAAAAAAAACATATCCACCCTCAAGGCGTGAGGGTGGAGAGGATCGCGGGCGCAACGAAATACCCACGGCTAGAGAGTAAGCCTACTAGTGTTCAGTCTTCCTAGGTTCTGGAGTGGCTTTTTGGAGCTAAATTTTAATTAAAGACATACGTTTCTACTTATAATAAAACCTCACTACTAAGAACCTGTCTCAGCGATAAAACTAAAAACTATGGCTTGCAACTCAAGGTACAAGAAACTTTAAAAGATAATAATAAAAGGAAAAGGAGCAAGGTGTGTTAAGACAGACATGCCGTTCGTGCAGGAAAAATCTCCTTTAGGAAGACCGGAACCTATTTATTTGCGCTGTGGTGACAGTTTTCAGTCGCGCTTTATGGGAAAAATTAAAGATTTAACCGATCTTTTAGATTTTTGGCATGACTATACTTGCACGACTCGCTTCATAAAACGTTGATTAAATTCAGTATGAAAGGGAAATGTGTTAACTAACTCACATATATAGCGGAAGAGTGCAGCCAGATTGTTTCCCATCTGAAAGGCTGATTCTAACCATAGTTATATCGAAAGAAAACGAAAGATCTGGGCAAATACAGTTAGCGCTTCAAGAAGCAGAATGTTATGCTGCATGCAAAGTGAAATTAAACATTACATTTTTATCGTAATTATCGGCTGTGTCTCATTGTGTCTTCAAGAAATCTTTGCAATAACAAAATACATCATCTCCTCACAGAAAATTAAAACTCTTACCAGTTTTAAGCATCGTAGTTTTCCTTTATGAGGGGAAGTAAAGCCGCCAAGTCTTGTTTCTAAGAATTTCTTTTCGTCTACAACCTATAGAAACGTTTGTATCTGATAATATATTCAAGATCTCTGGTTTTACCCTCACATTCCTCACAGGTAGCTTACCACTTGGGGATAAACAATTTTCATATCAGGGCTCCTTATCCCCAAGAGGCAAACTATAGCTATCCATGGGGAAAGTAAAGCCTGGTTTTCACTAGCGACGCAAGCACAAGCACAAGCGCAAACAATAGGGATGGCCCAAGTGAGAACAAAATTTGAAACAAACACAAGCACAAGCAAAATCATCAGAACATTCTGGACTGTTTAGGCGGAAGGTACCGGTTAATCTGGATCCAGAGCTTTCACTGCCGGGCCAAACGTATCCATGTGTGGTAAATATCTTCGTGCTTGTGTTATGCCTGAGTGGTTTTTCGTTTTGGCTTGTTGCAGCGCAAACGCAAGCATAAGCGCAAGCACATAAAAAAGGGAAAATTTCGATCCTTACGCTTGTGTTTGCGCGTGCGGTTATGCCTGCGTCAAGGCCGTTTTCACGGTGAAATAAGAATTGCTGTGCTTGGGGTTACGCTTACGACGCTAGTGAAAACCAGGCTTGACAGAAGAGCAACAGATATTGAATATTATAAACATCCACATCGCCTTCTACGAACTTTGGTGGGGGCAGAAGGTTGCGCTACGAGCCTGAAGAGCGCCTGAGTAAGAGGCTATCAATAAGAATAATTTGAAGTATTCTACTTGGCAGGTTTAGTTTTCCTCACAAAGGAAACCTATCATGTCGTGCAGAAAACTGACAAGGGTTTTCCAAAGATTTTGCCACACTAAAATTTTGTTGGGACATTAAAAGACAAACAGGTTGAAGCCGGATAAACACAGGATCTTCAATTTCACCCTGCTTGCATTTGCTTGGATGGATGGATGGGTGGATGTCATTATATATTTACCTCTTGTGGCGCTGACTGTGTTTGCCCTAGATTTCTTACCCCTCAGTTTCTCTCTATTACTGTTGGGTAGCATCAACCATTTAGGTAAGACATCAGAGTCTTACTGCATTTTTGCTCTTCTTGCGTGTCATCTAACACAAACGCAATCTGAAGTTAGATTTAACGAGCATTTTACGTGCAACAAATGGTATATATATGGTTGTCATAAGACTTGCGCGTACACAACTTGAGGGTTTGGGGGCTTGTTTAATGAAATCAGGGGGAAAAGAAACTTGCTTAATAATAATATTCAAACGAAAAAATAAAGTTTTCTTCTAACATTAAAATAGCTTGTGGTCTC